AAAATAATCACAGGAAGTGACGCGGTGAAAACTGGTGTTAGAGGAAGTAAAATAACACTTAAATAACTCTGCTCAGTACAAGGTGGGAGATTAAGCACATTGTCTATTTCTTCCTGGTAATCTGTCCTTGCGCCTGTTTAGAGCTGCTATGATTGATTTCCACAGCAGGTAAGATGACCTCAGACCCGCCTGCTGCATAGCGTTTTATGTCTAGTGGATGCTGATGTAGGTAATCCCTCATCTTGCTACTCCAAGAAAGTGGGCATGAATTTTTGCTGTGTCATCGTCTGTGCTTCCCTTTAGATCAGGGGTGTCCAATCCTGGTCCTCGAGGGCCACAGTCCTGCATGTTTTAGATGTTTCCCCTCTTCCAACGCACCTGATTCAAACAATCAGCTCATCATCAAGCTCTGCAGAAGCCTGATAACCATCCTGATCATTTGAATCAGGCGTGTTGGAAGAAGGAAACATCTAAAACATGCAGGACTGTGGCCCCCCAGGACCAGGATTGGACACCACTGCTTTAAAGCCTTGATTTGATGTTACTGCAAGAATGTTTTGGTCCTCAATGAAAGTAAAAACAAAGACCTAACCTTAGAGCTTCAGAGACGAAGTAAAGAGCAAAAGATGTGAGCGGTAAGGCCGAGCCTCCTCAGCGGTCATGTGACGCTGTTGGGCACGTGCAGGCTTCCTGACGTCCTCGTCTCTCGCAGCACTACCTACACGCCTAAGGCCTACATCTACTTTCCATCGCCACCCTTGCCTCCGCCCTCGCTCTCCTGCCCTGGATGCAGACAGTCTGTGTTTTTTTTGCAGCAGTTTGAACGATTATTTTCTGCTGCAGGTGTCGGCTGATTAACAGGAAACAGCTTGGAACTAAATGCAGCAGCAGCAGCAGGGTGAAAACAATCAACTCAGATCAGACAGGTTTCTTACATTCATGTCACAGAAGGAGCCGAGGATGTTGCTTTCATGAGCAGATATGTCCTGGGAAGAAGGAACAGAGACAGAAGAAGCACTGTTTTAGAGGACATGTGTGGCAACAGACTGGCATCATCGAGGCTTGGTTCAGTATTGAGGCGATGCATTCAGAGGTTTCTGGACCACAGCACTCGACACACTCAAAGCATGCTTAAGGAGCTTAAAGAAAAGAATGTGTTTTGTCATCAGAAAACAACAATACATCCGTGTGTTTATACCACAAAGTTTGATTTTGTAAGAAGCACCGGCACAGAAAGTAAAGTTTGAAGTAGCAGCCTGGTGTATCTGGACTCCACAGAGCCTGATCGACACCTGGTAGTAACGTTAATATAACCAGGACATCTTTGGCCGTTGTTTTTTTAACATAGACACGTAGCATAAACATGTTTGGTAAGAAACTACGGTGGCCGGGAAGCGCAAAACAGACTTACAAGTAAAATCAACCGGAAAGGGAATGTACCAACTCTGGGATTGAACTGGAAGTGGTGACGGGGAGCAGCCAATAAGAGTTGTTGTTGTCGTTTATGGAGTTCATGGTGACTAAAGCTAGACAGTGACCAAGTGATGTTTTGTTATTAAAATATCTGATGTACTGCTGCAGCATATCTGGTCCTTCTGTCTGGTCCACGCCCCTTAAAACTTCTAAAGACTGACCACACGAAAAACAAAACCGGCTCGTGCACGTGCCACAAAACGGGCAAAACATCACTCGGTCGCCGTCCATCTAGGGTCACCATGAACCCCATAAATGACAACAACAACTCTTCCGGTTCAATCCCAGGGTTGGTGCATTCCCTTTCCGGTTGATTTTACTTATAAAGGTGTTTTGGGAGTTTGTAAAAGTGTTTCGCCACTTGTAAATTTGTTTTGTACTTCCTGGCCACTGTAACAAACCCCTCAAGGAACAATAAAACGCTCTGGGACACGTTAGGCCGCTCCCCGTCACAAGAAACTTGTGTACTTTCTTGATGAGCGTTAAAGGAGAAAACAAGACCAACTGATGGCTTTTCCACACAATATAAAATGTGCTGATGTTGCCGGGCCCGAAAAACAACAACAAAAAAAGTTCAACTGTGTAAATGTTTAGGGTTTCTCAGCACTCAGTCCAGAGCTTAAGTGGAAACAGTTCATCCGTTCAATGTTTAATGATCAGTGACTATTTCGACCATCACATAACAAGAAATTGTTGTAGAGAAAAGAGAAGTGGAGGCACTAGTTTGTGGGCGTAACAGTGTGATCTGTGGTCTTACCTCTATGGTGGGGTGTGTGTTGTGTTTGTAGGCTGTGTACAGAGGAAACTGGATCTGGAAGATCTTGGCTGCACACAGCAGCAGTTTCTCCCTCTCCTCTGTGTTCCAGGAGCTGAAGGGATCCTGGTTGTCACTGTTACCGTCACTGCTACCTCCAGCACCACCATCACCGCCCCCAGAGCCGCTGCCACCGTCCCCAGGTCCCAGTGCTTCCACCTGCGCTTCAACCGGCAGGCTGGCTCCCTGATCCTGGCTCTGCGTCTTATTCTGGTTCACGTCAGGCGTGTCGGCATCCTCTTCGGCAGAGTCTCTTTCCACATTCACAGGTTCGTCTTCCCCAGGCGAGGATGGCTGAGGGAGGGCGCCGGGCGCCGACTCCCCTCCGCTCCATTCACACCCCGCCCCTTCTGCCCCGGACACGCCCCCTTTGTGCGCATGGTCCTGGACGCTGCAGAGTCGATCCCTTAGGCTGCTGATCTGAGCGATGACCAGGTTGATGAGGGCGTAGACCAGCTGATTAAAGACCTCCAGATGCTTATACTCCTTGAAACAGCAGAGACATTGTCTGGAGACACAACACAGAAGGAGGAGGAAGCTTTAGAGAAGCAGTCAACTCAACGGAGGAGCTTAATCCTGACGCCTGTCACATCAGGATCTCACTGAGTGGTGAGAAGTACCTAGAACAGCTGCATGAAACTCACTTGTTTGACATTTTCCTTAGCAATACATGACACTAATCCTCAAAACTGTCATCTTTTAATGTGAATAATTCCTTAAATCTTGCTGAATATTTGTCCTTTTCTATAAGCAGGTTTTGTTTACTATTTGACTCCCTTCAGCTTTATTATTTTTTAGATAGTTCAATTAAAGTTGATGGCTTGATGTAAATGAGGAGTCAGGAAAAAATTCCGACACATTAAAAAGAAATGTCTAATTTCTAAGGAAGCCTCTAAAGAACATTCTTCCACACGGGTTTGGACTATGACGGGTAAAAATGTCTGATAAAAGAGATTCCAGACAATCTCACTGACACGGATATCTCTACTGACAGCATTTCAGATGACATAAAAACATACGACATAACAATCTCATGAAACAAAATATTCCTTGTCTTGATATAAATATGGAAAAAATCTGTAACTGTTATCACATAAATAACAGGAGATCTGGAAAGCATTAAAAACAAAAGGAAACAAGGTGCAGCATGTATGGATGGCCCTTATAATGATCAAAATAGAAGCTAAAAGCAAAGGCAGAGGAATCACCGAAGCCTCACAGGGTGAAAGGACAATTCTGGTTTATTTCAAACTGGTGTATTTCTGCAAGAATGGTCCCATTGTGTCCTGATGGGTTATGCTGACTTTGCACTCTCCACCACCCTCGTAGAGACTCGGGG